TGGCTGGGGTGCAGGGGAGCTGGGGAGACCGTCCTGGGGTGTGGGGAGCCGGGCTGGGGGCAGCAAGAGGCTCTGCTGGGACACGGAGCGTGTGGGAGGGAAGCGGGAGCCGAGCCAGCTCCGCTGGAATTTGGGGCAGGAGGATTTAGCAAAACAAAACACGAGCCCTTAAAGGAAAAAGCCCAGCGTCGGCTCGGGGAAAGGCAGCTCTGGAGCTGAAAACACGGCTGGCTTGTGGAGATGGTAGAAAAAAATCAGCTGGTGGCTCTGCAAAAGGAAATGAAGGGGAAAAAAACCAGCACAGATGAGAGATTTTCAAACGCGGGCACTTGACTTAAGAAGCTGAAGGTATTAATGGAGAGCCTGGGGCATGCTCAGCATCCTAAAAACAGGGTTTGGGTCAGGAGGAGTGGGTGAGGATGCCACTGGCTCCGTCCCTGTCCCCAGGGCAGGGCAGTGATCGTGCTCCTGCGGATGGGGAGCCTGGATCGGGGTTGCGTGCCCTGTGGTGTCCCCTGCTGCACAGCCCAGTGCCACGATGGTCCTGGCAGGGTCTGTCTGGGGACTGGGAAGCCGAGTGATGACAGGAAACGCTGCTGCTGGGGGGGGGCCGGGGAGGGGACAGAGCACAGGGGGGACCTTGACCTCCCTGTCCCCACCAGAGAGGATAAGACCTCAACTGTTTGGTGAAGCCCCTCGAGACCTGCTTGGACGTGGGGATGGGGCCCTTTGGTGGGGCTGTGGCCCTCCCAATCTGTGGGGCAGGACCTGGGAGCCTCTACCCCCAAGACACATCCCAGTGAGCACTGGTCTCTGCTGGATCAGCACTGGGGACCTGCTGGGGTCTCTGGGGCCAGGGCTCTCTCCTGCGCCACGGTGGCACAACCCGAGCTGCCGCCTCTTGCAGACATCTGGAGCCTGGGGGTCATCCTCTACATGCTGGTGTGTGGCCACCCCCCCTTCCAGGAGGCGAACGACAGCGAGACCCTCACCATGATCATGGACTGCCGCTACACCGTCCCCCCGCACGTCTCGGCACAGTGCGCTGAGTAAGCACCTTCCCCCCGACACCGGACCCCCCTGCACCCCAGTTTGCTGCCCGCAGGGGTGGGTGGGATGCCTGGGAGCTGAGGTGGGAAAAGGGAGGAAGCTGCTGGGTTTGGGGTCGCGTGCAGGATCGCAGCATCCCCCGTTTTCCCCGTCAGTCTCATCTCC